CTCACAAACCACAGTGTCTGTTTAACGTCATTCCCTCATGCCTTCTCTCTCTCTCTCTTTCTCTCTGTGAAGTGTGAAGTCTAATTTGAACAAAGAAAGAACACCAAAGCTCTCTATTCTCTAATCTATTGTAGTTGAAAAACCCTTCAATTAATTGATAGTGATCAAGATTTAAGGGTCAGAATTTTTTAGGCTCAATCTACTGTAATAAACTGGTTTATTTAATTGCTCTCTCATTTTCTATTAGAAAATTTTATAAAAAAAATTAGAAGTTTGGTGTGCTTTGAATTTTTAATATGTTGATTTCATATTTTTGATGTTACTGTTGATTTAAAATATCTCCTTTTTTGACAGAAACTTAAATAATTGAGTCTTGATAGTTGATTGCTGAAACTATAACTTATATAAAACGATTAGATTTTTTTGAAATGCATGTATTGTTTTTAGAATATTGTTAACAATATTGATAAAAATTGTTTTAGCAAAAAGAAATTTTTTAAAACTTAAATTAATAAAATTTTATCTCCGATCAACTATGTCACAAAAAAGATTAAATGAATTAACTATATTATTTATTGAAAAATATCTATTAACAAAACTTGAATATAAAAATTTAATCAATATTTTTGCATCTCAAAAACCTAAAAAAATAGTTTTTAAATGAATATATTTTAATAATTATTATCTATTAATAGGGCACCGTTTCATATTCTTGCCTAGGGCCTCCAGATTTGTCGGCCGCCCCCTGTTGATTAACAACCCTCCTTGAAAGTAAACGTGTAACAAAAGTAGTGATGGGTTAAGCCCAAATAGTCCAATTATGTGTTAAAGTCCAACCCCGGTTGAGGAGCCCAACCTCATTGTGAATCCACCAAGTCCAAGACAGTCCAAGGTCGGTTAGACTTCTTGCTTAGCACGTCACCAAGAGGAAAGCACGGGAAGTTTATCTGCACCGCCTTAAGGAGCCCAAGGCTGGCTAGACTTCTTGCTTAGCACGTCACCAAGAGGAGAGCACGGGAAGTTTATCTGCACCGCCTTAAGGAGCCCAAGGCCGGCTAGACTTCTTGCTTAGCACGTCACCAAGAGGAGAGCACGGGAAGTTTATCTGCAACCACCGAAGGAAGAAAACGGTCCAATCATTGACCACGTTTCATGAAGAGCTCCCCAACCTCTTCCTTCCGTGGAGGATAAGTCGCGATCTCCACCAAAGATAATCTCTAAGCTGCGATAAAGAAGTCTTGAGGATATGTCATGATCTCCACAAGAATTATCTCTTACTACTATAAAATGGCTCTAATCTGGGAGAGGAGGGACACATGCTCCATCAGAGACTTACAGAAGACGAACCGACTACCGGAGATTATTATTTTTGATTCTCCATTCCCCCTCTCAAAGCTTGTATCTCCATTCTCCATACCTTTGAATCAATAAAAATACCCGGCGACTAAAGCCATTGAAGAGTGGACGTAGGTCGAATTGACCGAACCACTATAAATTGTGTCTTCTTTAATTTTTTCGTTGATTTCATTGCATTTATTATCTACACTCGACAGGTGGTGTGCAAAACCATTTTTGTGCATCATCAGTTTGGCGCCGTCTGTGGGAAACGACAAAATTCTCACTCCTGAACATTACGTCCATTAACTAATGGCGATCACTACTCGATCCATGAACCAACACGAAGACAATCCTCCACGAGAGGAGGAGGTTGCTCCCCCGCCTATCAACCCTGTTCCGGATACTTTAGCCCCGAATCCCCAACAAATATTGGAGACCATGCAGCAACTGGTTGCTCAAAACCAACAGTTACTGCAACTCATACTTACTGGACAAGGAGGAACACCACACGGAGGTGCACAACATGGAGGACCCCAAGGTGGAGCACCACACGGAGGTGCACAACGTGGAGCACCACATGGAGGTGCACAACATGGAGGGCCCCACAGAGGTGCACAACATAGAGCACCCCAAGGAGCTCCACATCCTGGACATCAAGAAGCACCACGCCCTGTTGCTCCACGCCCGGGTGCCCCATTGGGCACCCCACTTCGGAAAGCCCAACATGAGGGAGCTGCACCTCCCCTCCCTTGCTTTCCAGGGAGAGGACCCTTATCTCCAGGAGGATGAGGGTGAAAACCAAAGCATGGGGCATGGAAGCCACTTCCATGATCATTCCAGAAGAGCCCCCAATCATTGGGACGAGAAGATAAAGGAGGTACAGAATCAACTCGGTGATGTCTTCAACGCCATGAAGGCACAAGGACCCGAGACTGTTGACCACCTGGTAAGGCGTACTGATACCCCTTTCAAACCCGATGTAGCAAACTACCCCCTCCCTCAGAAGTTCAAAATGCCATCTGTGGAGACCTTTGATGGAACAAAGGATCCACTGGACCACCTCGACACTTACAAGACCTTGATGCAATTGCACAACGTACCAGACGAAATCATGTGCAGGGCATTCCCAACCACATTAAAGGGTCTGCCCGACAGTGGTTTGCTAAGCTCTCCCCCGCCTTTATTACCTCTTTTGCCGAGCTTAGCAGATCATTCGTCTCACACTTCATAGGAGGGCGTCGCCACCAGAAGCCAGTTACGCACCTGCTTAGTATAAAGCAGGACCGCGAGGAGAGCCTGAGGAGTTACCTCACTCGTTTTAACGAGGAGGTACTCCAAGTTGATGAACCCGACGACAAGGTGACGATGACCGCCTTCTTGGGTGGCCTCCGTTCATCAAGTTTCCTTTTCTCAGTTCTGAAACGCCCACCGAAGAGCATGCCAGAACTATTCACAAAAGCTCAAAGATATATGAATGCTGAGGAAATCAACAAGTTTAGGCAAGGTGAATCATCTCACAGATCACCAAAAACTTGACCTGCCTCTGCACTGTTCTCAAACAGGCAGCCTATCTCCAGTTAACGGCTCTCTCACGGGTCGCCAAAAAACTTGGCCTCTGCGCTGTTCTCAAACAGGCAGCCTATCTCCAGTTTAGCGATTCTCTCACGGATCGCCCAAAAACTTGGCCTCTGCACTGTTCTCAAACAGGCAGCCTATCTCCAACTTAGCGGCTCTCTCACGGGTCGCCAAAAACTTGGCCTCTGCGCTGTTCTCAAACAGGCAGCCTATCTCTAGTTTAGCGGTTCTCTCACGGATCGCCCAAAAAATGACCTCTGCACTGTTCTCAAACAGGCAGCCTATCTCCAACTTAGCGGCTCTCTCACGGGTCACCAAAAAAACTTAGCCTCTGCACTGTTCTCAAACAGGCAGCCTATCTCCAGCTTAGAGGCTCTCTCACGGGTCGCCAAAAAGTTTGGCCTCTGCACTGTTCTCAAACAGGAAACTTATACCTCAAGCTTAAAGACTCCCTCATGGGTCGCCAAAAGCTAGGTCTCAAAAAGTGTAGCTCTCTCACGAGCAGTTCTCCAACTTTATCTTTGCTCTCGCGCAAGCAGCCTACTTCTCTCTCTCCAGATAATTATGTGAGATATTTTAATATTGGAATAACATTATTTTGTCATCACAAGCAAGCTCTCCCGAGGTAGCCCCAGGGTCACCCAAGGCGCCCAGCACCTGGAGAAGGGCTTGATCATCAAGAGCAGCACCCAAAGCTTCCTTACTACTTGCAATGTCTAGCCCAACGCCTAGAAATGTGTCTGACTGCTGTTGCTCGTCAAAACAAAGTTGCCCAGTAGCTTGAAGGGTGTCTGGCCCTTCAAAATTGCGCAAAAGCAGAATTTTTGGCGCAAAAATCAGCACCTAAGGGGCCCAAATCAGCACCTCGAGTGAGAATCGGATCAGCCCGTGCTCCCAGGCCACTGCCTAGCTCTCCCTGACGAACCTCGGACTGATTTTCAGCGCCCCTTGATGAAAAAATGCTGCTGCCCAGCGTTCCAAAGCCGCCCAGCGCACCTGGGCTGTCCAGGACAGCAAGGCCAGCGCCCAGGCAGCTGCCCAGCGCGCCTGGGCTGTCCAGGATGCGAGGAGCAGAGCCTAGGAAGCCGCCCAGGCCCCCAGCGCCTAAGCCCCCAGCGCGCTCGCGCGCTGCCCAGCTGTGCGCGCGCGCTGCCCAGCCGTCTCCCTTTCTTCAACCTCCACCACTCCCTCTTCAAAATAAAATGGGAAAGATTTGAAGTTTAAAAAAAAAAAAAAAAAATGTAATCAATGCCTCATTCTCCAAGTCTCCTTGGACATGGGGCATTGGGGGGCAAATGATGGGTTAAGCTCAAATAGTCCAATATATGTGTTAAAGTCCAACCCCGGTTGAGGAGCCCAACATCATTGTGAATCCACCAAATCCAAGACAGTCCAAGGCCGGTTAGACTTCTTGCTTAGCACGTCACCAAGAGGAAAGCACGAGAAGTTTATCTGCACCGCCTTAAGGAGCCCAAGGCTGGCTAGACTTCTTGCTTAGCACGTCACCAAGAGGAGAGCACGGGAAGTTTATCTGCACCGCCTTAAGGAGCCCAAGACCGGCTAGACTTCTTGCTTAGCACGTCACCAAGAGGAGAGCACGGGAAGTTTATCTGCAACCACCGAAGGAAGAAAACGGTCCAATCATTGACCACGTTTAATGAAGAGCTCCCCAACCTCTTCCTTCCGTGGAGGATAAGTCGCGATCTCCACCAAAGATAATCTCTAAGCTGCGATAAAGAAGCCTTGAGGATATGTCATGATCTCCACAAGAATTATCTCTTACCTACTATAAAATGGCTCTAATCTGGGAGAGGAGGGACACATGCTCCATCAGAGACTTACAGAAGACGAACCGACTACCGGAGATTATTATTTTTGATTCTCCATTCCCCTCTCAAAGCTTGTATCTCCATTCTCCATACCTTTGAATCAATAAAAATACCCGGCGACTGAAGCCATTGAAGAGTGGACGTAGGTCGAATTGACCGAACCACTATAAATTGTGTCTTCTTTAATTTCTTCGTTGATTTCATTGCATTTATTATCTACACTCGACAGGTAGTGTGCAAAACCATTTTTGTGCATCATCAAGTAGCCTCAGGGGTTTTATTTGAGAGCCTCAGTTTGGCAAGACACTCTTTGAAACAACTAACTCTTCGCTGCACATCCAGTGGAATGAGTGTGACGTCTAGTTCTGAATCTAAAACTTCTTTTGCTGCCAAGGGATCAAGAAACATGTTCAAGTCTGCATATTCATTTCAGGGGAAAGCGCATAGATTTCCCTTCTCCTTGGTATTGCTAATGTGTCCACCAAGGCCGGCCCAACTGTTTAAAAAAAAAGCGTGGACTTTATGTCTTAAATTTTTAGAAAGTTCTATAATTTAGATACATAATTAGTTTACATAAAAAATTTAAATCTATGAAAATCTTATGCCTTACAAAAAGGCCCCAAAAAATTTAAACCCAATCAAAAAATTATAATTTTAATAATTTGGACCTACAATTCAATCCATAACATTAAAAACTAAAAAATCAAAAATTTAAAAAATAAATAAATAAATATTTAAAAATCAACTAATATTTACTCGCATCCATTCTCTCTCTCTCTCTCTCTCTCTTAAAAAATAAAAAAAAAGTATCACATCTTTCTCTCTCACTTAAAAAAAATTAAAAATATTTTTTGATTTTCTAAAAATAATACTAAGAATAAAAAAATTTCATTTAGTATTACCATTTTACGCCTCAAATTACCTACCTTGAACCGCCCTGATAAAGAACTCCTACAAAGCAATTGAAACTATGCCGGTTGATATTTTGTTTGAAGTGGCCCAAGCTACACTTTTAGGACAATGACCAAGACTCCTGAACTGCCATTACTGCAACTCTGCAAAAAAAAAAATGACAAGCATATACCTGAATCAAGGAGCAAGAGTTGTCTGGAAGGATGATTTTGGCTAAAGTAGTCAAGGGTCCATTCGTTAATATAGTAACCTTTGATCCTGGTTCCAGTGAATGTATGATGAACTTCCAAACATCCAGTGCCAAAGGTTGTCTTAGTTCAGGGTGATTGAAGCAGTAATTTGTCAAAACGTAAAGCAAGCATTTAATGATATACAAACTGATATAAGCAGTGCAAAGTTGCTTCCTAGACTGCAATGAGAAACAGCATAGTCAGTTTGGTGTTACCGTGATGGCGTCTGACCAAAATATACCAGGTTTTGCATGGTGGATTTATGAGTATATGCAGATACAAAAACCAGGCAAGGAAGATAGTTATATGACATTGACCACAACTCAAGCGACCGATATTATATGTACTACAGTGGGCTATTTTTGTTTGAATCCCCCTTTTCACAGAAAAGGTCTAATGTGGTTCTTCATTTCAAATTTATATGGTAACAAGATTTTTGTTCATAGAACTTCTGAATTGTTCTTTCTTCCTTCTGAGGTATGAAATTTTTAAAATTGTCATGTAGTAAGATGCATCACAACATGTGATGTTGCTTACGGAAATAGGGACAATAGCCCTGCTGCCCTTGTGGTAACTATATCTTCAATGTTTAGTCATGAAACTAAACATTGTAAAGTATATCATAATATTCATTGTAATTGCTATGATTGACATTAACAGGCTTGTGATACACATGCTTAAAATCTTGGTTGAAGAGGTTCTAACACCAGGATGACTATGCATAATAATGAAACATGCACTCCATTGCATGAGGCTCTTTTTAGAAAAGATAGTGGCCAGTAGAAAATTGGCTATGAGCATGAAGCTGTGTCTTACCTTTCTTCTTGCATATATTTAGTCTGGAGTCTGGATGAACATGCTCAATCTACTATGTTTCCAAAACTTAAGGCATTTCGCTTCTTACAGGATTTTCCATTGTTATGACTCCCCTATCATATTTATAGTCTAGACGAACATACTGAATCTCATCTTCCTTAGTAACTGAATTTTTTGCAGAGTTTTTTGATTTGGTTAACTTAAAACCACTTTAGACGAGAATCATATCATATGGCTATAATAACATCTAAAAATCAGTACACCATGTATATCATGAACAACAATACCTTCTAGGACTGCGACGCAAGTAATGAGCAAAACCATAGAGTGTATCAGAGTCCAAAAGGCCACCACTGCCAAGTGGGATGGCCTTCCTATATTTGCAATCTCCAATATAGGGAATGCAGGCTCTTCTGGGCCAATGGCAAATACGTCCCCTAGACCAACTGGAATGTCATCACGGCCCATCATATGCAGTACATCATATATGACATCTATCGTTGCAGCATTTGCCCAACCAGTTGAAGTTACCAATATTCCCTGGAAAACAAAATAAACGTCATTTTCATGGAAGTTCTGATATCTTTTTCTCATCCACTTCCCAATTATGGGGAAAAATATTATTCAGATTCCCATTAAAAAGAACTTGGTTTGCTATGGTAACATATAGTAGGTCTCACTTTTGATTGAAAGTAAATGAGTACTCAGATATTGCTTTGAAATTTGGGCATATTTTGTCTTGGTTTGAGGATCCATTCCTTCGGTAATTTATAAGTGTTTGGCCTTATTTAGAGTTCCCCCTAAACATTTCACATTGCAACTGCTCCCAATATGAAAATGGTGTCGAGATGAAATTCGAAACTCTGGTAAGGTGGGGAAATATGTAGCATATACCTCGGCATTCCTACAAGCACACTGTTTTCAATCTGAAAAACATGTCTTCTATGGCATGCATAGCAAAAGAAAAAACATAAAGTAAAAGATAGTACTTTACCTTTAGGTTGATGAGTTCCACAGGTAGTTTCAGGAGATAAAAAAGAGCTACAAAGTCCCCAACACTCATATCCATGTCAAAAACAACCGGCTTTCCCATTTATCTAGTTCCGAAATCTGGTTTGTATGTAACTTCCTTGTCATAGGGAAATTTTGTTTTAATGTTAAACCTCCCAGTATGCTCAGGGTGGTTTATAACCTGCATTCAACAACATATCCAGAGTATAACAAATAAATTGTGTACATCTCACTGCCTATACTTCACTCTGAATAACTGTAAAATATCACTCTTTTCGCTTAAGTGTTTCAAATTCAATGCCTATGTTCTGTTTACAAGTCAAAATCTTACTTCATGCTGTTCCTATTTTTGCAAATTTATCTAGTAGTGGATTTTTTGCCCACTGTTGTCCTCTATGTCTTGTTTAGCAGGGTCCCATCTCCTTCATACTTATTAAACCCATCAATGAAACAATTTCCTTGACATTTGGAGAACTATAAGTGAAAGGGGGGGAAAAAGGGGGGGGGGGGGGTTAAATGTGGATTGGAGGTCTCAAGATATTACATCGATGAAGTTTCTGTAAAATTTTCTGTTAAGCAAACTGTCCATTCTATCAACATGTTTGGCTTCTTTTGTCACCAGAACACACACTGCTTCCGAACCAGGCACCTCTTTTTTGTAGCCATCCTGCAAGTGTATAGTTTAGTCCGTAAATTAGCCTATGTATCTTTTACTTCATGCCATAATGTTCTATATCTATAATGACACTAACTTCTGTGAAGTAAACAATAGTTTGATTTGAGCCAGTACAATCATTGCTCGACCGCAATAAATCATCTCAAAATTTAATCAGGAGATTTTGTTAAGCAGTCGGCACCTGCAGCTAGGATAATCACCAAGATTTCATTTGATCAAACAAGTGCAATGTGATCTAGGCACATGTCTATGCCGGAACTGCATTCTGTGTAGAAAACTCTTGCTTGCTGTTGCTTCCTAGACACACTTAACGCTAAAACAATACGGAGAGAAAAGATCTATCTGTCTATATGTCACCATCAACAAAAGCCGATGCCACACATCTTCCTTTCCCATTAGATGATCTCGCATTCCCGACTGCACATGGCCACATTTGCACCCCATTCTTTTGCATATTATACATTGGGATTGCACGGCCATCAAAGAAAGGATTTGAACCATCAGATATTCCATAAGGTTCATTTGCAGTGACTACACTTATATTCATGTATTCCATCTTGGCAAATTCATTTTCTTCATGATTGCTTCGTGACTTGCACATGATAGATATGGTGACACCAGCCATAAAGGAGTCCCACAAGAAGTAATTCTGCAGAAAGACGTCACTTCATTATGTACCAAGATATCCAAAAAAGATAAACCTTACATGCAAGATTGGAGGTAACCATTAATATCCCGAAATTCTTATGTACTCGCGAGAGAGAATAAGATGCAAATAGCTTAAAACATCACCTTATAAAACTCATCATTGAACCAGGTATCACGACCCATCTTCAAAGATTGGAAGCAGTACTGTGCGTCATATGTATTCTGATTCTTTTCTAATGCTCTAAAGAAGTTCTCGCTTACTGGGATGGTATTTGTTGCATCCAGTGGAATTAGCGTGAGTGGAATTCCAGAATGCATTACCTGAAATAACAGAAAGTAAGAAGTAAGAAATCACTATAAGTTCTTATCTTAAAAAGCTAGGAAAATTGTGTGGGAAAAAATTTAGCTCTCTAGTTTGTTGGACTAAATATTAGGGAAATTTTTCACATGCAGTAACATTAATTGTTTTGTACAACAAAGGATATGATTTCTTGTATTGGAACACTTGATGTATTTGTAAGTAGAAATGGATATTCAAACTAAGAGTAGAGCTACGTATATATAACTAAATAATAGTACAAAGTGACTTAAATATCTTTGTGGTCTAGGCAAAATATGAAAGTCATAGTAAGGGTAAAAAAAGGAAAAAGAAACCCTAATAAACTAGACTATACTCCAACACTCTCCCTCAAGTTAGGTGCAAAAATATCAACTAGAAGAGTCCCAGAGAATGAATAGAGTGACAGGTTTGGTGACAGCATTTGCAACCTGATCACTGGTCCTCACAAAACAATGAAATGACAGTACCACAACTAACCTTTTCTCGAAGAAAGTGAACATCGATCTCTATATGCTTTGTCCTCTAGTGTAGTACAGAGTCAGAAACGATCTGAATAACAGATCGATTATCCTAATATAATGTAGATGAAGAATTCATTGGAAATCCCAACTCACCAAGAATCGATTGTAGCCAGATAATCTCACATGTGTCAAGTGCTAGTGCTCAATACTCTGCCTCTGCTGACCAGCGGGAGACAATTGACTGTTTCTTACTCTTCTAAGAGATAAGATGAGCCCTTCGAATAACACAAAAGTCCGTAGTAGATCAACCGTCACACGCTTTCCCATAATCTAAATCCGAATAACAGGCTAGAGAACAAATTTGAAATCCTGATGTATAAAATAACCAAGTTCAGGACAATATTTGAGGTACCAAAAAATATGATAAACTGTATCAAGATGAGACTGACACGACCTGTGCATGAACTGACTAACTCGGCTAACAACGAATGAAATGTCTGGTATAGTGTTGGCTAGCTAGATAAGTCTACCTACCAACCTCTGATAGACAATCGGATCACTCAACTTCTCACCTTCAGTAGTAAGCTTTAGGTTTGGACTTATGGTTGGTGATGCCAGTTTGCAACTTAATATCCCAGTGTCAGATAGAAGATCCAAAACATCCCCTACTGCTACGGGCAACCCCAATCCCAAGAGGGTATCGTAGAAATCCAAGGTCCTTCACATCGAAGGTCTTCCCAATGTCTACCTTGACCTGTGCAATCCCATAAATATGACCCCCAGTAATAATATTATCATCCACATATACTAAAAGGATGACACATTGCTCAAAAGCATTCCGTCGAATAAAACATGTATGATCAGAATGATATCTAGTGAACCCTAAACGTATAACTACACCACTAAATGGAGAGAACCAGGCTCATGGTGACTGTTTCAGTCTATAAAGAGACTTATGCAATCGACACACATTCCCAGCATACTCTCACTCACTATGAAAGCCTGGTGGGGCATCCATATAAATAATCTCGTCCAGATCATCATGAAAAAATTCATTCTTCACATCTAATTGATGAAAAGACCAAAAGTACTCCGCAGTCAGAGAAATAATCAATCGAACAGTAGTCAATTTTGTCACGGGGGTAAATGTAGTACCAAAATCACGACCTAGTACTTGAATAAAGCTTTTGTCACAAGTCTAGCCTTGTGACGATCAATAGTACCATCTGCAAGAAACTTCAGGGTGTAAACCCAACCATCAGGCTTCACCCTTGAAGATAAATAACAAAATCTCACATATGATTACGCGGAAGAGCGTCCATCTCCGTTTACATGGAAAGAATCCACTGGGGCTCCTACATAGCCTCTAAAATAGAGTGAGGAATCGACGTATTTGATAATGCCATACTATAAGCTCGAAATGTAGGAGACAAATCACCATAAGGAACATAAGCAGAGATCGGGTATAAAGTCTTGGAGGTCTAACCATTACGAATAACTGGACGACGATCACGCCGTGGATAACGACGCCCTAAATCATCATCCTCCGCTGACAATGTCTTATCAGGGAAAGTAAATGGCTCATACCTGTAATCTCATCAGTACTAACAGCAGGTGCATCAATATGCTCAACGAATTGAGAAGTATTACCTGCATCGCCTGGGGTAGAGGGGACATCAGCAGAGGGATGAGAGCGAGGGTGACGAACATAAACTTACAGAAGAAGAGAGACTAGTGACTCTATACTGACAGGGATGAGTGGCTCTGGAAAAGAAGAGACTGATGACTCTATAATGATAGTGACCAATGGTTCTAACTTTTGTGGGAATGAAAAATCAAAGGGAGTATTATCAACTGGAGGACTAGACACAGTAATGGAAGAAAAATAATAATCTGCTAGAAAAAAGTAATATCTAGACTGTGATACATACACGCCTTATAGGATCATAACATCGATATCCCTTAGACTGATGATAATAGCCCACAAAGACACAATGAATCGCTTTATCATCAAGTTTATGGCGAGTAGGAGACCGATCCTGAACAAAATATGTGCAGCCAAAAACACAAGAAGGGACTTAAAAAAGTGTCCGCTTAGGGAATAAGACCTGTAAGGGCATCCTATGCTGAAAAACATGACTCGGTGTATAATTGCACAGAAAGGTAGAAGTCAAAATAGCAAAATGCCCATAAAATTTTGGTACCCCCATACCTCTAAGCATATAACTTACCATCTCTATTAGACTCCTATTTTTTCTTTCTGCAACTCTATTTTGATTTGGAGTATATGGACAAGTGAGTTGTTGAATGATATCTTGAGAGGAAAGGTGAGACACTAAGACATCAGACATATATTTTTTGGCATTATCCGAATGAAGAGCACAAACAATGACATCAAATTGTGTCTTCATCATCTAGAGAAACTGAGTGATTACAGAGAGTACATCAAAATTCCTATGTGAAAGGTACATCCAAGTATAACGGGTATGATCATCTATAAATGTCATATAGTATCAAACACCTAATAGAGCAATAACAGGAGAGGATCCCCAAATATCAGACTATATTAGGTCAAATAGCTTGGGTGACTGGTGCATGCGAGGAATATAACTAGTCTAAACATGTTTCGATAGGGAACATATAACATAGTCAAGTTTACCATTAACACAAGCATTGTTCAAAATAGGAAATAACATACATAAATATTTAAAATTTGTATGTCCAAAACTGTCATGCTACAACTGAACACTTTGTGGTAAAAAATCATAACAACAAATACTAAGTAAAATACTAGCATGCAAGCTAGCAACAAATGAAGACAAAGCAGGTGATGGAGGTGGAAAAACTGGATGTGGATTGCTTAGATAATACAGTTCATCTTTCTCATGTCCCTTGATAATAATCCTCCTCGCACTCAGGTCTTACAAATAACATGAATCAAATAAAAACACAACTGC